TGCTTCTACTTCCACCAGCTGCTGGATGAAGGCTATAGGATGGCATATAAGTCAGTCATCAATCTCATTATCAGGGGAGGGCATTTAAGACAGCCTCTCCTCTGTAGCTTAGATTGTTAGCTGGTGTCATCTCTGTATTCAGACATTTCCCCAGTGCCTGATTTCTCTGTAAACCTAAAATGTCTCTCTCTATTATGGTATCTCCATTCTTGTTATCTTCTATTCTTCCCCTGACTCAACCTTTCTGCTCCCTCATGTCCTCTGCATCCCTCCTCTTCTTCCCTTCTCATTCTCCTAGTCATGAGATTGATGACTGACTTACATGCCATCCTATAGCCCTCATCCAGCAGCTGATGGAAATAGAAGCCGACACCCACAACTTATCACCGAACTGAACTGGAATCCAGATGCAGAGGACCAGTGAAGAGCAAAGGGGTCCAGACCAGGCTGATGAAACCCACAGAAACAACTTACCTGAACATCGGGGAACTCTTACTCCCCAGACTGATAGCTGGGATACCAGAATGGGACTGATCCAGACCCCAGGAACATGGATTTCATTGAGGAAACCTTGGAAATCTACGGGACCTCCTATAGTAGTTCAGTACTTATCCCTAGCATGTACTTTGGGAGCCCATTCCACATAGAGGAATACTCCCTGAGCCAAGACACATGGGGGTGGGCCCAGGACCTATTCCAAAGGATGTGATAGACTCTGATGACACCCTATGGAAGGCCTCACCATCCAGGGGAAGCAGAAAGGGTATGTGATAGGTAGGGTTTTAGTTGGGGTGGTGGTAGGGGAGGACGGGAGGGAGAAGGGAACTGGGATGGTCATGTAAACAATCTTGTTTCTAATTCAAATAAAAAAATCTGAAAAAAGAAATAAAAAATTTAAAATTTTATGTAGCAAATCTTTCATGTCAAGACTTCTATGTTTTGTTTTTGTTTTAGTTTTTTTTTCCTTTTTTTTTGCTATGAGTGTGTTTTCTACATTAGGATTAAGATACAAGATCCTTTATAACCTGTCTCCTAATAGTAAGATTTTAAAACTCATTTTCCTTGTTGTACATATTTATGGATACACTGGGACAATCTGACACGTGTGTTCAAGTGTGATGATGAAATCCAAGTAGTTAGCATTTTCCTAGTGAGATTTTGTTTGTTTGTTTTGTAGAGCTGGGGATTGAATCCAGGGCTGTGCGCATGCTAGCAAATACTCTACCACTTAGACAAAAGCAAGGCACGATTCACAGTTTCAATACTTTGTGATTTTAAATGATTTCCAGAATCTCTGATTTGTTAATTAATTAATTTTTATTTATTTATTGACAATAGGTCTCACTTAGAGCCCAAGGCTAGTCTTGAACTCATGAGCTCACATTCTCCCTGCTTCAGCCTCCTTTTTACTGGGGTTACAGCGGTGTGCACCATAACTGGCTCCAGCATTTTTATGGTGAATCATTAAGAATCAATGTAAATGACCTCTAGAAATCCAAAAGAACCAGAAGAACCCAGTCAGAAAGAGTCAAAAGTTGGACCTTGGGAAACAGCAAAGTGTTGGAATGCCCAAGAGGCCTTAGATTACATCCTCTGTACCCCAATGTAAATTAATAAAATATGGTAAAATAGGCTAGGGAATTAATAAAATGTGTCGACAATTACTTTAAATATGCTTAAATTCCAGTGCAAATTAGAATATGTCCATAACAAACTATAATTCTTAATAAAGATAGACAAAATAGCAGGGCAGCACTTTATTTTGGTGAGGGTTCTCATTGAGACTGCAGCATACTTTTTGAAGTATAATTTATTTGTTTATTTTTTATTTATTTTTGGTTCTTTGAAACATGGTTTCTCTGTGTAGCTTTGGAGGTTGTCCTGGAACTTGCTCTGTAGACTGGCAAAGCAGGCTGGCTTTGAACTCATAGAGATCTGCCTGCTTCTGTCTCCTGAATGATGGTATTAAAGGCGTGTGCCTCCAACGCCCGACACTGAAGTATAATTTATTGAATTTAATTTTTATTCTAGTTGTACATAGCAAGCCCCTTATTTCAGCAGTTTCCCGAAATGTCGGTCCCTCCTCTCAGATCTGATGCATTATCTCCACTAACATTTCAGTGTTTAACTCTTTCTCTGTTCTTGTGTCAATGGCGCACTCAGATATGTTCATCCTCACTATTCCCCCTTCTAAAGCTAGTCAGGATACTGCATCTTATTGCCCCACATAAGCTTTTAGAATTGTATTTCTAATTACAGCAAATTCGCACATATGTTCGGAGAATGCATCTTTATTTATTGAACCTTCCCATCTACGCTTGCCCTTCTAATATGTTAGAGGTTTTTATTTATTTATTTTTTAGATTTTATGGCATCCTTTTATTGTACATAAAACTCATTAGATGTCCAATTATCACCCGTCACTTGCTGTCTTTAATTTTACACACATTACAGTTTTCTTTGCTGCTATTGTATGATCTTTGAAAAAGTCTGATGTTACTAAGCAAAGTTATGAATTCTTCTGGGTTGTATTTGTTTCATTTGTTGAGTCTCTTAGACATTATAGATGGACAGTGTTCCTGTTTTATTCTGTGGCTGTGATAAAACATTCTGACCCAAAGCTACTTAGGAGAGAGAGGAAAAGTGTGTCTGGCATACACTTTCAGGCCAGTCCATCACCAAGGGAAGTTGGAATAGGAGTCCAAGGTGGAGCACAGGCAGGAACCATGGATGAAGGCTGCTCACTGCTTCTCTTTGGCTCACTCAGCTTTCATACACAGCCTGGGCACACCTACATAGGGCTGGTCCCACTCACAATGCTGGGGGCCCTCCTACACTAATCATCAGTGAAGACAATCCATCACAGACATGGCCACCTGCCATCTGGTCTGGGTGGATACTCAGCTGATCTTTCCTCTTCCCATGTGATTCGTGATTGTGCCAAGTTGTGAATGGAAATTCACCAGTACACTCAGGCTTTTGGGTGTCTGGCACTAGAGATTCAACTCAAGACCTGGAACATGCTAAGCGTGTACTCTCCCATTTAGCTGCGCATCACAACTCAAGAGGAGCAGTAACACACTTGCACCAATTACTCTGTACTAACATTTTAAAGTCCTTTCGCCTTCCTGTAATAGCTCTTTTTTCCTTTTGAGTTTAGGGAGTTTCTTCTGCAATGTTGAATCTCTTGGGTATTTATGGTCTCCTATTTGCTCCTGTTTATGACAAAGCATCTAGGTTAAAGGTGTTTTCTTTCACTCTAAATTACTTTTAGGATGTGTTTCCTCAGTCCATCCGAGGATCTCTATTTGTCTGTCAGCTAGTGAGTACTCTAACTCTCCCTAGTGACTAGAGATGAAGATGGGAATGAGGCTGGGAACAGGAGAAGGGCCTGGACCGGGCATTGAAGCCCCTGATGCTGCTTCACCATGAGACAGTCCCTCCACCCCCACCCCCACTCTCCAGCCACTCAAGTAGTCTAAGTGTCAGAGTTCTCTCAGTCCTCAGTCCATGGGGACTAATGAGGATTTGGGGCTGCTGTCTTGCTGGTGTTATTTTTCAGTTAGTAACTTAAAACACTGCCTCAGTCACATTCTTCCTGTCTCCACTGACCTCGACCTTGGATTTATTCTGGAATTTTTCTGGGGAAAAACACAATGTTGGTGTATTTTATTTGTCTACTGAGATGCATCCCATGAAATCCGGAACTCTCACTCCAGTCAATAGATTTTATTTGTCTACTATTTTGGTATATTTTATTTGTCTACTGAGAATGTTACTCAGCAATTTTGGGTGATGTTGCCAAATCTGTCACTTTAAAAAAAGGAAGAAAAAGAATGACAACCCTCCTTACCTGGTCTCTGGAAAATCTTACTTCAAAAATGTGGCTATGAACATGTTGTTTAAATTTATATCTTGTTTTTACAGTGTGTGTGTGTGTGTGTGTGTGTGTGTGTGTGTGTGTGTGTGTGTGTGTGTGTGTTGCTTAATGAGAAGGAGAGAAGGATGCCATTTGGTTCTGTGAATTTGCTCAATGATGAATTGGAGAAGGTTTGGAGGATGACTGGGCACAGCATCTTATTCTGTTTAAAGTAATACATTTTTTTTTCTTTTAAGACAGTCTTGCTATACAGTCTAGCTCGGCCTCAATTTCACTAGCCTTTCAGTGTTCTCATAGTACATATTTTAACACTCATGGGATTATATCCTCTATAACATTTTGCGATTATTTAAATGTAGATTGTACATGTAAGAGAAAAGGCAATGTTTGTCTTCTTTTCCTCCAATTTCTACCTTCTCAGACACCAGACACCTTCTTCCTCCCAGATACACACACATGTATATACAGTTTCAAGTTAGATTCCACACATGAAAGAAAGCATGTGATATCTATTTTTGAGTGTATTTTATTTTGTTTAACATGATGTTCTTTTGTTCCATTGATTTTCCTGAAAATGACACATTGTCATTATTTTTTCAGGGCTGAAAAAATTTTTGCTATGTATATACATCCTGTTTTGTTTATACACACATCTATTATGACTTCTAGGTGACTCTATGCCTTGGCTATCACGAATAGGATATTAATTAAAGTGAATTTGCAGATATCTCTGTAGAATACTGACTTAAAATCTTTGTAGTTGGGTGATGGGGAAATATTTCTGTGTATGTTTATAAATAAAGTACTTGCTTGGCCAATGAGACAGCAGGTTAGGCTAGACTAGGAGTCAAAGAGGATTCTGGGAAATGTAGTAGAGAAGTGATGTTCCAGACAGGAAGTGACATAGCAAGGAGACTCATATTTAAGAAGAGGAAAAAGGAAATGTCGCTCTCTTTCCCCTCGGCTCCTGCTCCAGCGGCACGATGTGATCCACCAGCTAGGAGGGACGCCAATAAGGCGTCCGATAAGATAAGTCTTATAAAATATATAGACGTATGATAATTGATACTGAGCTAACAGATGAGAATCCTAGTCATTGGCCAAGCAGCATTGTAACTAATACAAGTCTCTCTGTGTATTCATTTGGGCCTAACTTGGGCAGGTGGCTGGTGTAAAGCTTACACGTGGCAGTGGGGCTCAGCGGCTTTTGGCAGAAAGATTTATTGTAACATTTATTGTAACAGTTGGGTCCTATGGTAACTCTGTTCATGCTTTCGATAGATATTCACACTGGTTTCTAGAGTGGCTGAACTGATGTATCACTTCTAGCATACATAAGGGTTCTTCCTTCTCCACCCTCACAAGCACTGGCTGTTTGTATTTTTGATAATGGCCAAGCTTTATACATTTATAAAGCTTCCACACAGCAAAAGAGCAACCAGCCTAGCAAAGAGGCAGCCTAAAGAGCAGGGAAAATACTTGTCAACTCTGACAGGGGATTAATAACCAGAACCTAGAAAGAACTCTAAAATATGAGTGAAAATAGATTAATATGTCTCTACCTGTGTAAGAATAAATTCAAAATGGGCCAAAGACCTTAAAGAAAAACCACTTTGAATTTATTTTTATGCAAGTTGAGACATATCAATCTATTTTCATTCTTTTATAGGTGGATATCAGTTTTCAAAAAAAGTATCTTCCCCCCCAGGATGTTTTGATAGTTTTATCAAGAATTGGTTTGATGTGAGATGTGAGTCTATTTATGTGCCATTTATCCTATCAGTCTATGTATCTATTTTGGCACCAACACCATGCTTTTCGTTATGTGGCTCTTTAGTGTAATTTGAGATCAGGTGTCCTGAGGTGTACAGCACTGGACTTTCTGAGTTGCATTGCTTTACTTCTTCAGGGCCTTCTGTCCCTCCTCATGAATCTTAAGATCGATAAAATACTCTAAGAAGCAAGTCGTTAACATTTTGATGGGGATTGGATTGAAACTGTAGATTGTTTTTAGTAATATAGATATTTTTGCAGTATTAATTCTGCCAGTGAGCCTGGGAGGTCTTTCCACCTTTTAGTGTCTTCCTCAATTTCTCTCCAGTCACTGAAAATCTTTATCTTAGATTGCAAGAACTGTCATACTTTCCAATTTTATTTTTCTTCACTTCTTTCATCAAAACCAACCAGGTACCTGTTTGTTATCCTTACATGTAACAAAATTCTTGATTTTCTGCTTTCTTTACTCAAATGCTTGTGTTTTATGGAGTGCTTTTCTCTCCTACATGATGCATTTTTAAATTTTCTTATATATATGTATATACATATATATCTTAAATTTAATTTCAAACTTTTCTTTAGAATCATAGAGAAGTAATCTGTCCTCTGATTCATTGCAGTACTTTCATGCATGTTTGTTTTAATAGCATTTTCTATGTTAATATTTCAGTTTCCCGACTCATTGGGAATGGTCTTAAGGAAAAATTCCTAGTTTATAATTTTTCTTTTCTTTTTTCTTTTTTTAGTGCCTACATATACCAATCTCAACAAAGAAACGTCTGTTGACTAAACAAACCATCTTGGGAAGAAGATGAATTTGAAGCAAAGGATGTAACTTTGGGAACTTAATTGGAAAACATACCAACCTAACATTTGTATTTTAGCGAAGAAAGCTTACAACTGAGAGAGTCATGGTCATTTAAGAAATTCGGGGACTGATAGATTGTCAATGGAAAATTCTGATTCACCTTCCAGGTTACCCCTGGTCAAGACAGAGGTGGTGCTTTACAGCTGCAAGTAGAAACACACACATCAATGGAAAAATATCTCTCTATTACTGCTGCAAATGGAATGGAGCTGGTCTGTACCTGTAGTGACTGGGAATGGAGCCAACCCATACCTATGGTGTGTCAGCTGGCTGAAAGCCAAATTTTCTGTGGCTTTGACGGTTTTGATTGTGTGTAACCATATTACATAAATACTCATGAAAAACTACAGAGATCTGTCTCCATATCCCCTAAATGGTAGATTTTAAAGATAAAAGGCCCTTCTCTACATTTGCACTGTGAAAATGTATGAAGACACATGTATGCATTCCTATGTTACACAAACTTATAAAATATGTGAATACACAAGTATATATTTCATGTGTCATACAATCTTATCGGAAGCATTGGAACGCATGTGTCATTTATTTTTAACCCTCCTCTGCACTGTCTTCTTCTATCACCACAAGTATACAAAACTCCTTTTAGGAGAAATAAAAGCCACTGGTTTGCTAGCCCTTCTGTAGCGCTTATAAGATGTCAGCACCCTATAGTGAATTGGCGTTATTTGCTCTCCAACTTACTACTGCAGAAATATTAATAAAATGGGTGCCCGCAAACAAATACTCTTAACTCATTGCCACCCGGTAGCCTTGTAAAAATGGAAAACGTGTCAGTTTGAAGACCTGAACATAAAAGGAAGATGTGGTGTTGGAGACCCGTCTTGTGGGACCCTAACTCTGCCATACTCACTCCCCCGGCCTCCGTCTGCACCATTATCTGAATAAATGAGCTTCACGGAGAGCGATGTGACAGCAGAGAGTACACCTGCTGTGTGGTGTGACTGGTGCAGCTTAGCAAGTGGCTGCCAGGGAAGCAGTTTCCAAAAGACAGGGAGGAGAGCTGTCAAGGTTCGCTCCCTGTGAAATTCGCCTGTCAGAGAAGATGATGCATTTGGATATCCCACGCGCTTACTTTCCTTTTCCAGCAGTTACCCTATCATTTCCAAGGCTTCCACAATTTTGCTGCGACTTATCCTTTTAAGGGGCTTTTCCTCTCTCTCGTCTCTCCATTGACTGTGAGTCCCGAGAGATGAGTGACTAGAGTCAGGACAGACAGGACAAGCAGCCTCCCCGGCACTCCCTATCACCCCACTTGCCGTCACCCCACCTGTCGGTCTTTCACTTCATCTGGAACAGGAGGGAGGTTTGACTTTGTTCATCAGGGTCTCAACAGTGGACTTTTGTCCGGGAGCGCTCAGGAGAAGGATGTGAAATCTAGAGGGCAGGACAGTCGCGAACAGCAATGGTGACAGTGAGCTCTCCTGTGGAAACTGCCTGGTTCCCTGAAACCTCACAACTTTTCTGTTTTGAACAATAGGTGAGCCGTTGAGGCTATAATAGTATTCATCCCGAAGTGTTGGTAAATGCTACTGTCATTCTGGTTTATGCTGTGGAGTCCTTGTTTACAAGCCTTGTCACAATCTTGAGGAAGCAGATGTCATTATCCTCACTTTATAGATGATGTCCCTAAAATACAGAGAAGTCAATGGGTTGAAAGGTCTGTGTTAGAATGAAACTTGGATGTCTCACTCAGGGTGATAGAGTTTTCAATGTATGTTTCCCAAGAAGGGCAATTTTCATCTCTTAGGCATCTGGTCTGGATCCCTCTGCACCAGTGGAGGCAGAGGGCAGGGTGGCTATGTGGAGGAAGAATTTCTATGAGCAGAGGCAAGGACGCCTTTAGACCAGGGTCTCTGATTTCAGTAGAGCTGTTCCTTTAGGGTTATTTCACAGCTAGAAAATAGCAGTGAGAGAAACAGAGGGCTAGATTTAAGTAAGAGCTCTTCTCCAGTCCCGAACTGTAAGCTATTAAAAAAAAAGTTATACTTTCTCCTTAATGAACTGTGTTATGTAGGTACCAAGAAAGAGCGGCATTCCAATTAAAAAAGTATTGATTGCTCATCTGTTAGTGTCATCTGCTTATAATTAATGGCCACCCAACTCCCGGTGGTGATTTTCATTGTGAGTCATCTCAGGTCTTGCTCTTGGTTTATGGAATATTCCACTGTGGTTGTGAGCTCTTTCACATGGGTGTTTCTTTTGCTATTAAAATACACGTTTTCATGCTAATCTACATAGCCCCACAGTCACTTCGAATGGAAGTCAATGGAATTTAACACATTCCAATGCCTTCTCTTGCATACTTGCAAGACCATTTATGTCTTCTGGGCTCTTCTGTGTATAAACAACTAAACACTCCCATCTAAAAAGAAAAGAAAGAAACACAAATTCTTCAAAAGTAACAAAGCTCCAAACCAATCAACCACTGGAAAGAAAGGCAGACAAATAAATAAGGACGGAGTTTGAGGCGGATAGATCCCACACTTAGAATAGCAGGCTCTGGGTTCAACCTCCAGAACCAAGTTCCCAAACAATACCTCCCCTGATTAAAATACAAAAGAAAGAAAGAAAAAGAATACCCCTGCCATCACAATGCAATACAACCACCCACAAAAATGAAACCTTAATGCCACAGAGCAGTTAGTTGTTTCTCGGCCCAAAGGCTGTTAGAATTTGTGTGTGAGCCAAGCTCAGGGTCTAAGGAGGCTCTGTTTGGGGCCTGCAGAACACTCCAGGCCATTGTGCTAATTAAGTCTGAAAGGCAGACATATTGGGAAGCAATCGGGGGTTGGGTTGAAGTCTGGCAGTGGAAAAAGGGGAACTGGGTAAGCTCAGAGAACACACACTTGAGGAGACAGATGTGATCACTGTGTGCGGCTGGGGTGGAATTTATCTTCCAGTTCAGTAGCTGGCCTGGCACTGTGGCCAATCAGACAGCCTGGTGAGAAATCATTGCCTAGGTGTCTCTGCTAGATTTCCTTACGGGTAAGCTACTGACAGCTTCGTTTGCTGGCAATTTTCTTTTGCAGAGAATTGTTCTCTCATTTAACCAGTGTCTGTCTCCTACAAGAGAGGCAGGTTTACCACTCTATGAGGGTGGGGGAGGGCAGAATTTCAGGAACTAAATGTATCAAACGGGAACAACTGTAAGGAACCAGGACTCTCAGGCTGCCATCCCAGCTCCAACACAAATTGGTTGCAAATCATCTCATTCCTGTTCCCCCCCTCTGAAAAAACAAAAACAAAACAAGCCCCCCCCAAACCCATTGTGTCAAGTAACTACATTCCTTCCATGTCTAAGATGTATTCTACTGTGGGCTCTAGATAATTTTCTCTTTCCGGTTTTTCTCATTCACTAAAAGCTGTTGAAAGAAGTTTGTAAGGTGGGCAACCTAGAGATTTAAGTTGGCAGGTCATAAATTTAATTAGGTACCAAGAATTCAAGTACAAAGGATGCTTATTACTCTCTTGCACAGGCCTTTACACGTATGTATACCAAAACCTTTATCAAGCTCACACAGCTGTGGTACGGGCATTTAGCTCATTCTGCTTCTGTGTGTGTTACCACACTACCTGATTAGCACAGCCAGTTGTTACTGTCAAACAATCCAGCCAAACCAGACCACTGCTTCTCCTTCTCCCCCTCCTCTTTATTCCCTCCTCCACTTCCTCCTCTTCTTGGTCAGGAAAATGTCTAACTTTATTTATTGTACAACTCGAATAAAGCCACTAACACACACTCTTGCTGATAACCACCGGACACTTGGCAAGTTTCTTAGCCAACCACCCAAAGCAGGGAACCTCGGCATTGTTTTTTTGTCTGTGTTTCTTAACTTGCCTTGAAAGATCTGTACCCCGTGAGCAAAGTATTCTCCATTATTGCTTTAGCAGCTCAGAGGTTTGCAAATTAGGAGCAATGCACCATAGTGAGCCTCAACAAGACCCAGAGGCCAGTTCGCTTGAGATTTGGAAGAGGCGTGGCTTTGCTTCTCGGAACTGTCTCCTATTGGCTGTTTCCTAACTCAGTCATTGAGAGCCCTCCCTCTGGTAGCTTGTTACCGGTGGGTGGAGCTACTTTATTTCAAGTGGGCTATAGCTTTGCTTCACCTTTTAGGAGACACCTTGGTAGCATGTAAACACTGTGTCTATAGGCTCAGAGAATACGTGCCAACTTTAGTGTGAGCCTTGAGGGATTACCCTATCCCAATAAACCGTCCCTAGTGCAACTGGGCATTCGTACCTTTCCGTTCGCAATCGGGGCATCACTCCCTCAAGGTTTCTATTTGTGGGAATGCTCACCAAGTCCTACCACTGTGTGTCAGTCAGATCCTCAGTGCCACAGAAATTTTTTGCTTTTTCTTTGATTGCCTCTCAAACTCATAGTCATTAAGTCTTTACAAGAAACAAGGGTAGTCAACCACCCAGTTCGACTGATTCTTTTCCTCTCATTTCTCCCCAAAGCTAGGTGCATGGCAACAGCTAGTGATGCCCGATCCATGGGCATGCTGTCCTGGTGTACCGCAGAGGCATCTTGTGATGCTATCTCCAGGTTCCATCGGTACTCTAGTTGCCATTGGTGGCAGGATCTAATTGTTGGCCAGGAATTAGGAGCTCAAGCTCCAACATCTCACAGAGGCATCTTCTGATGCTATCTCCAGGTTCCATTGGTACTCCAGTTGCCACGGGTGGTGGGATCTAATTGTTAGCCAGGTGATAGGAGCTCAAGCTCGAACAACTCGGGTTAGGGACTTTGTAGCGGTTTCACAGTGAACTTGTAACGGTGGCCACACCCCCTTGGGCGTGGCCTCAGGCATCTGGAAGCCGAAAGAGGGAAGCTTGAGGTGCGGCTTTCCTTGGGGCTTCTTTTCTGGTGGGTCAGCCGATCTGGTAGGAAGGACAGAAAAATGCTCCTACGGTTCTTTGTATTTTTTTGTGTAATTGCTCTCCAATAAACACCCATTTATCATTTATCCTTGGTCTAGTGAAATAATAACAAATTCGCCTTCAGGTCTTCTTCCTGGAATTGCTTCTGATACCAGTTCAGACAGTTTGTGGTTCTTCAAAAGAGATTCCAAGACAAGGACTTTCAGATAGGAGTAGGCTTCTTGAGGAGAGTTCTTGGAAGACGCAGTGGTAGGAAAGATAAAGTGCTGTGGTGATTTGAATGAGAAATATCCCTCAGGAACTCACAGGTTTGAAGAACCGCTCCCTGATTGGTGGCATTGCTTGGGGGAGATTGTGGGACTCCTAAGATGCAAAGCTTTGTGGAGCAGCCAGCTTGGAGAGTTTATAGCCTGGCCCCATATCGAATTCACTCTCACTGCTTTATCCACCGTATGTGGATAAAGATGTGATTACTCAGATTTCTATTCTGGCTGTCAGCTGCGAGCACCCCCTGGGATTCTGGAATAGAACCCTCACCAAGTGTAAGCCCCAAACAACAAAACAAACAGACAAAAAAAAAAATCCCAAAGGCTTTCTTTCTTAAGTTGCTTTTGGTCATGTTATCATTTACAACAGAAAAGTAAGTGGACCTGGAGTTCAGTTGTAGACGAGACTTCAGCTGATTCCAAAAGACCAGAGATGAATGGTCCTTCCGGGGTTGCCCTTTTATCCCCACCCTGGCTGTAGGACTCCCTCTTAGGAGATGGGGTTGGATGTGACAGTTCTCTACAGCAAGGCCAGGTGCAGGGTTGAATGCATCTAGGGCTGCTCTGCCTTTGGGAGCTGAATGCATTGCTGCCTCCCGAAGAAGACATGAACACCTCAGCCACATGGCAGCCCTGCCCTTCATACCACCAAGATGGTGGCAGTGGAACTGGAACCATAGAACACATTTTCTTTTCTTATTTGTCAATTTTTTATTACACAGACTGGCTATGTTTCACTTACTGAGTTTGTCCTTGGCATTTTCATACGAGTACATAATGCACAGTGATTCCTCCCACCTGTTTTAATGTTGTAAGCAAGATCTTCTAACAATGGCTACAGCAATGCTAAAATGGGGTGGTTAAAAAAATTGAAATTTTGGACAGTTGTATTTAGTTTAATGTTTGTTTAATGCACATCAGTTGACATAGTGTGTGTTGATCATAAGAGAATTTCAGAATAACCTTTCTGAATTTCCTTTCTCGGCCATTTTGACTCTATTTGTTTCATCACATTTGCTTTTCAGCTGGTATTATAAATAGAAGCAGAAGAGCTCAGAAATCCACCCCGATGCTGCCTGCAGCATGAGTTAGTGATTTCAAATACCAAGACTTCCACATTGGTATATCTTCACCTTATGTTCCTAATGAGGCTTATCTGCAGAAAAAGTCCTTTCGGAAAATTTCACCTTCTAAGCAAATAGAAAGTCTAACAGATAGGAAGGAAAAACTGTTAAATGTTACCTCAAATGAAAGGTTCAGATGACATTCCTCGGAATTGTTCTTCTGGTTGGTTGCATGGCAGTTTGGTTGATATTGAAGTATCAATCAAATTTAATTAATTAATTAATTAATCAATATTTAACTTTTTTCTTTCCTTCAAATTTGAGCATAGGCCATAGTCTACCATGAACTTTTATTTTTAATGTGTTGCTTTGTTTTTTTGTAAGTGAAAGAACATTACTGATGATAAACTTGAAAATGTTTAACGTGTTCAACAATAATGTTGCTAAACATTATTGGTCTAAGTATTAGTCCAGTTTTCACCATGATAACAGCATACCTGAGACAGGCTATCTTAATGAAGAGGTTATAATTCTGGAGATCCAAAGATATGGTACTGGCCTCAGTTTGGCATCATAGTGGATGGTAGGGTTAGGTTGCACTGGAAGAGCTCACATGTCCAAACAGGAAACTGGAGACTGTCACCCCACAACTACTTTTATGGGTGTGACTGCATAACTTAAGAGGTCATCACCAGGCTGGGTTTCTTAATGATCCCATCACCTTCAGCATGCCTGCACCAGGACCAAGATGGCTACGAGAGACTCTTAGGAGGACATGCTCAAACCACAGAAGCCAGAACACCACAGCTCCCTGATTGCTTGTCTCCTGTTGGAAAGGGTGAGATGCTT